TTACACAAGTAATGCATCAGTACATTTTCACCGTGGAAGGTTTTAAAAAGTAAAATGTGTGAGTCTTCACATACAGGTTTCCTCTTCCCTACCCCCTCACCAAATTCCACGTTCCTCCCCAGAGATAACTGTTTCCTATTTGCACTCATTTTCCTGTTTTCACACACACACATAACTTTTAAACAGACATAAATGGGATCATACTACACACATTGTCCTGGGACTTCTTTTTTCACTGAATATGTCTTGGAGAACTTTCCATGATACTACATAGAGATTTCATTCTGATTTCAATAGCTGCACATTATTTCATAGCATGGATTTGGCATAATTTATATAACCTTCCCCTCCTGGTGGACATTTAGATTGTTTCCAGTTTTTTCCTGTTTTACAGAGTACCTCAGCAAAAATCCTTATACATCCATCTCTGTGGATTTTTGTTTCTGTAGGAGAAATTCCTAAAAGTGGAATTGCTGTGTCGGAGAATATGTTTTGATAAAATTTGATAACGTTTTGGTAAAAGTTGCCAAACTGTCTTCCAAAAATGAAATACCAATTTATGCTCCAACTAACAGCAAATGAGAGTGCCAGTTTATTAATAATCCCATTAGCGTTTGGCTTTCTCAGCCTCTTCATAGTCTGTCAATCTGATAGGCACAAAAAGTCAACTAATTTACAATTTTAATTTACAATTCTTTTAACTATTAGTAATATTGAGCATCTTTGATATGAATATTGGCCATTTGTATTTCTTCTGTGATTGGCTTGAGTTATTTGCCATTTTTCTCCTGACTTTTAAAAAACATTTATTTATTTATTTGGCTGCCTCCAGTCTTCATTGCGGCACGTGGGATCTTTCCTCTCAGCGCTCGTTGCAGCGTGCGGACTTCTCTCTAGTTGTAGCCTGCGGGTTTTCTCTCTCTTGCTGTGGTGCATGGGTTCAAGACCACGTGGACTCTGTAGTTGAGGTGCACGAGCTCAGTAGCTGTGTGCGGGCTTAGTTGCCCCATGGCATGTGGGATCTTAGTTCCCAGACCAGAGGTTGAACCCGTGTCCCCTGCATTGGAAGGCAGGTTCTTTACCACTGGACCACCAGGGAAGTCCCTAATTTTTTTTTTAAATGATATTATTATGTTTTTATTAAATTTATTTATTTTTGGCTGCGTTGGGTCTTTGTTGCTGCACGTGGGCTTTCTCTAGTTGTGGCAAGCAGGGGCCACTCTTCATTGCGGTGCGCGGGCTTCTCATTGCGGTGGCTTCTCTTGTTGCAGAGAACAGGCTCTAGGCGCATGGGCTTCAGTAGTTGTGGCACGTGGGCTCAGTAGTTGTGGCTCACAGGCTCTACAGTGCAGGCTCAGTAGTTGTGGTGCACGGGCTTAGTTGCTCCGCGGCATGTGGGATCTTGCCGAACCAGGGCTCGAACCCATGCCCCCTGCATTGGCAGGCAGATTCTTAACCACTGCGCCACCAGGGAAGTCCCCCTGACTTTGTAAATATAGTGATTTGTAAGCACTTTTTGAATGTTGGAGAAGTTAGTCTGTTATGTGTGCTGCAGATATTTTTTCCCAGTTTGTCTTTTATTTAGGTGTGTGTTTATTTAACTGTACAGAAGTTGTTTGTTTGCTTGGTTAGGTCTTTTTATTTATTTATTTGTCAGAACTATTTCAGTTTATTTTGTGGCAATTTTGAAAATTCCAAATATATTTGCTTTACTTCTGTTTGATTTCAGAAGTTTTTAATTTTCATATAATTGTATTTCTCAGTCTTTTTCTTGTTTGGCTCTGAGTTTTGTACTATGCTTTAGAAAGGCTTTTTCCGCTCAAAGATTATGAAACATCCACTCATGTTTTCTGCTAGTACAAATTCTGCTTACATTTAAATTCTTTGACCCATCTTGAATTTATTTTAGTGTAAGGGGTGACTTCTACATTCAGTACCATTTACTGAATAATCTATCTTTCCCCATTTATTTAAAATGTCATGATATACTAAATTCCCATATATACTTGAGTCTATTTCTGGGCACTCTGTTCTTTACTATTGAACTTTTTATTCCAGTCACTGTGCCAGTTATTACCCTGTTTTGATACCCTTGCTCTATACTGTGTTCTATCTGGTAGAATGGGGAGAGGAAGCATCAGAGAAAGAGAGAGATTATTCCCATTCATCACTTATCTTTTTCAGCACTTTTCATTTTCCCGGCTATTTTCTTTACTCTTCCAAATGAACTTTGGCATTATTGTTAGATGCGCATACACATTGGGAACTTTCACCCTCCATGACAGTGACAGTGTGGAGAAAAGGGTCAGTAAGAGTCTGATCTTAAGATTGGTCCATGGGAGCCATGACTGAACACCCTGCCGTTTCACTGCTTAGGGCTTGGAGGATCTGCAGAACCAGGGCAGAGGATCCCTGGGAATCTGTGGATCTGGGAGCTGAGAGGAGGTCCATTTGGGACCCAGGGTTCAGTGTTAACCTGTCTTCATACCATCCTTAGGGTATGAGGGACAGAATCTGGGGAAGATCCTCAAGGATTTAGAGACGAGTAAGGTGGTACACATGGATCGATGGTCTGTGGAGGTGATACCCCAACAAACTGAAGAAAAGAGTGACCCAGTCCCCTTTCAAATCATCAATAACTACTTCTCCATTGGTGTGGTCAGTGGAGTGGGGCATGGGGGGGACGGGAGGAAGTGGGGGTTAAGCAGGCAGAGGCTGGAGGAGGGCAGAAAAGGAAGGTAGAGGGTAAAGGAGCTGCGACACAGGGAAATCAGAAGTGGGCACAGTGGTATGAGTTGCAAGAAAAGAATGTGGAACGAAAAAAAAAAAAACAGAATGTGGGACGTATCACTCCCAAACTGGAGAGTTAAAGAGAGAGAGGGTTCTGTGCTGATGAATGAGGCAGCCTCTGATCTCATATGCCCTGGACTCCCCAGGATGCCTCTATTGCTCACCGATTTCACATCATGCGGGAGAAATATCCTGAGAAGTTCAACAGCAGGTGAGGGAGAGGGGGCGGGTGTGGGCATACACAGTAGCAGGGACCACGTGGTGGCCAAGTTTGACTCAGTGCTTAGACGGGCAGTGACACCTCTAGGAAGCCCCTCAACCAAGCTTCCCTGTTCCCCACGGGACTGCAGTTGGGAGGTTGATGCCCTTCCCTGTCACTTAGCCCACCTGTGCCAGCACTGTGTAATTTGTCCCCTCCCTCCTGGGCCTGGTGTGGGGCCAACACAGAATGAAGAACAAGCTATGGTACTTCGAATTTGCCACTTCTGAATCCATCTTCTCAACGTGCAAAAAGCTGGAGGAATCTTTGACAGTTGAGGTGGGTGTGTTGAGAGCCAACCCCACATCCTTTTTAGCCCCTTATATCTTACTTTCTCCCTCCACAGGAGCCCTCAGGAACTTCTCATATTCTTGAACCTATACTTTGACCTCCCTGCTCTCTAATCCCGATTTCCCAAGTTCTTAAGATACACCAGTCCCTACTTCCCTCCACCTCTTGCAAACCTCCAAATCCTAGTCTTCCCAGTGTGTTATCTGGTGGAGGGAGTGGTCACGTCCATCATGATGCCATGAGGCAAGGATCTGTGCTCTCCTCCCCTCAGATCTGTGGGAAACCACTGGATCTGAGCAACCTGTCCCTAGAAGGCATCGCAGTGCTAAACATCCCGAGCACACATGGGGGCTCCAATCTCTGGGGTGACACCAAGAGACCGCACAGCGATATCCATGGGATCAACCAGGCCTTAGGTGCTACAGCCAAAGTGATCACCGACCCTGATATCCTGAAAACCTGTGTACCAGGTAAGAGGAGCAGCCTTGGGAGCTGACTCCCAAGGGACTAAGGAGAAGGTGTGACTCTCTTCAGAGGAACCCTGCTTCTACAAAACCTGTCTCCCTACTTCCCACCCCCCCAGACCTAAGCGACAAGCGGCTGGAAGTAGTAGGGCTGGAGGGTGCAATTGAGATGGGCCAGATCTATACCAAGCTCAAGAATGCTGGACATCGGCTAGCCAAGTGCTCTGAGATCACCTTCCAGTAAGGAAAACTCAAGCTGGGGGCTCTGAGGGAAGGAGTGGGACCAGGAAAGCAGAAGGGTATGGGAATGGTGGGGAGGGACTGTACCAGACCTTCCTCAGTAACAAAGGGTCTCAAGGCCAACCTAAGAACAGAGTTTTGGTACTTGATTGATAAAGAAATTGCCACCAATCTGCCTTGACCTCACACAGCACCACAAAAACCCTCCCCATGCAAATTGATGGAGAACCCTGGATGCAGACACCCTGTACAGTGAGTATTGCCTATGCCTGCCAAAAACTGAACCCCCAGGCTCCGTGGATCCTAAATTTCCATTCCACAGCTTCTTTACTTCCTGCTGAGGCCTCAAGTTCCCCTGTGCACCCTTCCTCCCAAATCCTGATTTCTCAGCCCCTGGCCTTCCTACCATGGCCTCTCTAGGACCCTGGCAACCCACCCTGAACCCTACAGATTTTCTCCCCAATCTCTGCTGCTCCAGCCCCAAGGCACTAGGTCTTATCTCTGAATGCGCCTCCTTCCTTTCCAGATCAAGATTACCCACAGGAACCAGATGCCCATGCTCGTGGGCCCACCCCCCCGCTCCTGCAATTTCTTTGGCTTCTTATGCTGAGGGGGGACATCTCAGCCTCCAAGCCAGCCTTGAGCCCACCTCCTTGTGCCTGGACTCTACTCCCTAGGCTCTGTACATTGCTGCCAAACACTCCTGCCAGCTCAGGGGAGTGTTCCTTCACCCTCACAGTATTTATTATCCTGCACCATCTCCACTATTCCCCATGCACATGTGCACACACACACATACACACACACATCACAAACAATACATTGAAAGTGCCTCATCTGAATAAAATGACTTTTTTTCCCACTGGGATATCTGTTAAGTGAGTGGTACACCTCCTTCCTTTATACCTCCACTCCTTTATTGACATAGATTCTCCCAGAAGTAAGGAAATAACAGCTCCAGGTTCTGAGTCTTTATTTCAGGCAATGGTAGTTTCCAAGGGAAGACTGGAGAAAAGATAGGCATTGCTGTCCACACTGGGTAAATCATGATGTCACGTGAGAGTACTCAGACCTGCTGCCCACTGAGGAGGGGGCTGCTCTCACCAATGGGGCAAGTGCGGAAGACCCAGGGCAGACGTAGCCACTGGGTTCTGCCGGGTGGCAGCTGGGGAAGGGGGAGAGCTCGGCCCTGCTTCGTACGTCTTCTCCTGATATTGGGAGAAAAGCAGGGATACTGGTTAGTGGTAGTTAATGGCAGCCTGTTTGTGCTTCTCCAACCAAGAGGATAAATCATATCCCAGGTTTCCTTGGCCTTGATCCTGGCTCCTTCCCCTCCTTCTCACCAACAGAGTTCATCCTCTCTTATTTCTGTGGTAACCTCTGTCCATTCCCCTCTCACCTTACAAGCTTCCCTGCTTTGAGGCCCTTGGCACCCCAGACCTAGGGATTTGCCCTTCATGCAGGTGGAGAACCCACTTCACCCAGCCTTCTCCACTCTTGATATTATTCATAACAAAAATCATCAAGATCATCATTTATTGCACTCTTGCTTCAGAACCAGGTGCTTTACCCATTGTCTAGAATCCTGACAACAGCCTCACAAGGCAGGTATCAGTTTTCCTACCTTTCAGAGGCTCAGAAAGGTTAAGCTACTTCCCCAAGATCCCACCAGCAAGACTGCAGCCTAGACCTGTTTAACTTCCAAATCTGGGCTCTTTCCTGGACACTATGCTTTCTTGAAGGGGGTGGTGGTTCCACCATGAGCGGTGGTGCTAAGGGATAAGGGGGTGTGAGCGGCATGGTGTGGCTCTCACCTGTATACCAGAGATGGGAGCAGCAAAGCCATCAATACCAGCAAGATGCCCAAGAACAGGGGAGCCTGCCCGAAGCCTGCTTCTTGACCTACAGGCCGAATCCCAGACGTAGCTATAGTCAGCATCTGCTTCCTGTCACACATCCTCTACCACTCCCCTTCTTCATCCTACCTCTCGTCCAAGTACCTACCAGGCATGACAAGCTGGGTGCTGACCATTGCCAGGCTGTCGGCATCAGCCAAAGACACATTGAGGCAGTAGGTCCCCGAGCCGCCCTTCAGTACCTGGTGCAGAACCAGCTGGCAGTCTGGGCTGGGTGGCACAGGCTGACACAGCCGCTGGGCAGGGGGCTGGCACCCTGGCGATGAGATGTCTACGCAGGCCTCCTTGGGTAGCCTGGGAGAGATGTCAGCTTATGTCAGGGAGTCTGGGAAGGAACAGTAGACACCAGAGAGCAGGGCAGCGGTCAACCCGAGAGTTCTCGGGGCAACCAGTGGGACACTCACCCGCCTTGGCAAGACACAGTCAGCTCAAATGCATCTCCTTCACTGGATGGCACAGCCTGCAGGATCTCAGCACTCCCAATACCCTCTAAAAAGTTGCAAGGTTTTAAGTCTGGGACTCCTCTACCAGTCCTCCCTAAAGGCCCACGGACAGGAAGGTGCTCGGGCTACCTCCCCGATCCCATCCTCATGCCTTCAAATGAAAACCCTGGGATTTGGGTATTCTTGTTCAGGTGAGTAACTCCTTCCAGGGTGTGCTTCCACTGGGCAGCCCTAAGCCGCACACGCCTTCCCTCCACCAGCTCCCAAACTAGGCAAGACTCACGGACAATGTCCAGGGTGAGGGAAAAGGAGCCATATCGATACAGAACACAATCCAGGGGGACTTGTCGCTTCACCAGGATTAAGGTGGCTGTGTCATCCAGCAGGGGGCTCTGGGAGCCTGGCAGGAGAGGATTGAAGAGGCAAAGTCATGAGACAAATGACACCTGGAAACAGCAGGCATTTTTCCAGGTAGAGCCAGAGCTACTGGATCCAGGCTTGGAATCAGGCAAGAGCTGGGAAATCTCATTTTATAGATAAGGAAACTGAGGCCCAGAAGGAGAAATGACTGCCCCAGAGTCACAGGTAGGGGTAGAGCTGGAGTTTTAAAAATCCCAAATGTTTGTCACACCCCACACTGTGCCAGGTCCTGGGTTAGGCACTTGACGTATGTTAACTCATTATAGTGTCACTACCTTATTCCTCCCTTTTCAGTGTTTCTACCACAATTCCAGGTAAACCTACTTTGGGATGGGAATCCAGAGGTGGGAAATGGTGTTAGAAACTGGGAAAGATTTCTGTGCATTTACACTTAATCAGAAAATGAGATATAAGTATTATGTAAATGATCACAGACTGCTCCCTGACCTTCACTTTAGGGAACAGCTCTTTTCAGAGACATAGGAGCAACAAGCTCTCTCCCCATGGCCTAGGAGAAGACCCTGGTTTCCTGAACTCTGGATCTCTTCCATACCATTAAGAGGGACTTGGGGGGCTTTAAAACCAGTGAAGACTCTGAAGGGACTCCACTGGTAAGCTAAGGATTGGGTAACATCTGGATCCAGAATAAGTCTTTCAGGTCTTCAGAGCTGTGACAAATGCCCCCACCTCAGTGAACCTCATTCATTCTGGCCCTCTTACCTGTAATACCTTCTGTAGACAAGAATGGGCTGGCATCTGGACTGTCAGGCTCAGGGGTGGGTACCTCTCCAGTTGTGGTCTCCACCAGCTCTGTAGTTGTTACCTGTGCAACTGTGGTTCCAGAGGGTTCTGCAGTTGACACTTCAGGTGTCGTACCTATGGCCTCTGCAGTTGGCATCTCTGCAGGTGTGGTACTTATGACTTCTGAGGCTAGTACCTGCTCAGCTGTGGTACCTGTGCCCTCTGCAGTTGGCACTTGCACAGCTGTGGTTCCAGAGGGCTCTGCAGTTGGCACCTGAGCAGGTGTAGTGGCTACGACTTCTGCAGTAGGCACTTGGCCAGCTGTGGTGCCAGGGGCCTCGGCAGTTGGCACATGCCCAGCTGTGGTGCCTGGAACTGGGGAGGAGCCACAGGAGGTGAGAGGAATGGCAGCCTGTAGCACCACCTGTGCAGTGACTGGGCCAGACTCTAGGTAAGTGTGAGTGACCACAAGTGCCCGAGAGATCAGAGTCCCAGTACTGTCTCCAAAGTCCCAGGTGTAGGAGAGGTCAGCCCCAGCCAAATAGCCACTGGGGTCGTGGAGCTGGAGGGCAAAGGTCAGAGGTTGCTTTCTCAGGAAGTGATTGTTCGTTCCATCCAAGGCCTGCAGCTGAGACACGCTCACAGAGAAGGGCACCTGGTCTGAGATTGGAGCCAGAAAAGGTGAGAACCAGGTCTGGGCCACAGCTTCTTCCTTCACAGCCACATCCTCTAACCCCAAGCTGCCTGGCCCTTCACTGGCTCCAAGCCCCACATTCCTCTGCCCATGTCTTCCTGGCTCTGCCCCTATAAGGTGCCCCTACACACCATTTCCTCTTTCCCCTTTCCTGCCCAGCCAAGCTTCCCCACCTCCTCCTGCCCTGAGACTGGCCTTGTCCCTTCCTAAGTCCTTACCAGTAATGGTGAAGGCTGAGCGGGAGTGAGCGAGGGATACGTAGCTCTGGGACCCCCGGCGGTGGTAGACAGTCACTTCCATGATGTGTGTGCCCAGCACTGCCTTGCCTGTCCCAATGCTCAGTCCAGACACTGGGCCCCCCAGAACTTGCCAGTATTGGCCTGAGGTTTTTGGAAAGAAGAGTAGAGAAGGGGGTTACTGGTCAAAGGGGACTGGGGAAGGGTTAGAGACAGGGCACCAGACTAGGAAGGTCAGGAGATATATTGAGAGGATGGTTATTTCAGCGGGTGTTTGGAAGTTTGTATATGAGGGCAGGAAAGGAGTCCTAACGAGGGGTTCCATGGGATGGGACTGTAATTGGAGAAGGGTTCCCAGAAAGAAGTATAATAGAGTTAGCTAGGTGCTGTGGAAGAAGACGGAGTCATGGGGAGGTGAAGATTAGGGAAACTCACAGAGTTTAGGGGTGGGACCAAAAGAAAAGGGATCAGGTAGGAAGAGATGAATCCAAGTGTGGGTGACAGGCCAGAGAAGGGAGTCTCTCACCCCAGGTCTTCCAGACATAAACAAAGCTTCTTCTCTGAGGTGAAGGGCCAGACGGACAGGCCCTCCCATCGGGGAAGATGCAGGTATCATCAGGTTCTTGGGGATACACTGGCTGTCCTCCCCACACCTGGCTCCCTGAAAGGAAGATACAAAGTCACCCTCAAACCCTGGCATTCCTTATTATACACCAAAACCTTTAACATGGCTCCCAGAGCAGGGCTCTGGGAATACTCCCTAGCTACAAAATATATTCTCCTTGATATAACCCACTGTGGGTGGTAGTGGGGAGAATGGAAACTATAATTAAAGATTCCTTTGTAGGGACTTCTCTGGTGGTCCAGTGGTTAAAAGACTCCACTCTTCCAATGCAGGGGGCATGGGTTCAATCCCTGGTCAGGGAACTAAGATCTTCCATGTTGAGCGGCCAAAAAAAAAAAAAAAAAAAAGATACCTATGTAAGTATATACATAGAGATTGGAGAGAAAGAGATTGGAAATGTATCAAAATGTTTAGAAAGATTTGCTCTGGCTAGTGGGATAAAAGTAAAAATAACAGCACCAGCTAACATCTATTGAGCCTTTACTGTAGGCTAGGGCAGGCATTATGCTAAATTCTTTATATATTATCACATTTTAATCCTTACAACAACCTTTTAAAGTAGTATCATCCCTACTCTACAGATTAAGGGAATGGAAGCACAAAACAATTAAGTGACTTGCCCAGGGTCACATACTGGTAACAGGTTTAAATCCAAGTCTGTCCAACTTCTAAATCCACTGGGTCTTCTGTCCCCCATTTTGGGGACTACAATTTTTTTTTTCTTTGTGCTTTATCTGTGTTTTCTAATCTAATTACATATATAATTTGTTTAAAAAAAAGAAGAAGAAGGAGAAGGGGCATGAGCTGAGACCTGGGAATGAGGCCTGGAGTGGAGTGGTACCCACCGTTAATGATGGTGTTGTTGGCCCAGATGACCTGCCCATCTGACAGCACCTTTTGGCTTTCAGGGAAGTGCAGGGCAATAGAGAAGGAGGCGTTTGCCCCACGCAGTGTAGGCCCATCATTGCTGACCTTCAGAGATACCTGGCCACCTGGAAAGGGCAGCTGCGTTAGCTGGGACTCCTTGGCTTCCCCTCCCCATATGCCTTTTCCCTTTCTGTCTTCTCAACCGACATTCAACCCAGTTCTTGCTCCTCTCCTCTCCCCACCCCATTCCCACCATACCCTCCCCAGAAATTGCCAAGTTCCTACCTCTCCAGCAGTGAGGCCCCTGGCTTTCTGTCCACTCTGGATATAGCTGCCTGTTCCATGCTTTAGTTCTGAGCTGCCTTGAGACACCAAGCCAGTCCCAGTCTCTGGGTCCTAAAAGGAAGGTATAATGAGGACCCTCAGGTCATCACTCCCTTCTCAGGGGACCACAGTGTCCCATGTCACATCACTCATTCTCACATTCAAAGTGCATTTTAATTTACCCAATACCCACCATGTACCAGGCACTGTGCTAGGTGCAAAGAACTTAAGAAATGAAAAAGAAATGGTCCTAAAGAGATTCAGGTTAAAGTAGATGAAACAGACATATGCATAAATTACTATAATTCAAGGCACTGCTTAATATGAGCCATAATAAACATGCACGATGTACAACAAAATGACAGAATAAACAGATTAATTCCACTCTGGTAGACTGGGAAGGATCCAATGAGGAGTTGGCCTGTGGCATAAAGCATTCTAGGCAGAAGGCCCAGCATAAGCAGATGCATGGAGGCATGGAAGCACATGGCATGATAGGGGACCACTAGCAATGTGGTTGAGGTACACCGTGAGAGATGAGGCCAAGAAGATGGGGTGGGGGCTTTGAGTGCCAGGCGAAGGAGTTTGGCCTTTATCTTGTAGGCAAGTCCACCTCAGATGATTTTGTTTTTTGTATTGAGATATAATTCACATACCATAAAATTTACCCTTCAAAACTTTTGGAATATGATCAGATTTGTGTTTTAGAAGGATCACTTCAGCAAGCAGTGAGGAGGATGGACCAGAGGCGGGTAGAAATTGGGAGTGGGGACAAACAAAATTATTATAACTGACCAAGAGAGAAGTCTGAAAGAAAAGGATATGATGGCTCTCCACATGCCTCACCCAGATCCAACAACTATCAACATTTTGCCACATTTGCTTTATCGATCCTTTGTTGTTGGTTTGTTTTTTGGTTAAAGCATTTAATTTTCTCTTTTACAGTATTCATTTTTAATGCTGTACTTTTCTTTCTTTCTTTCTTTTTTTTTTTGCAGTACGCGGGCCTCTCATCCTTGTGGCCTCTCCCGTTGTGGAGCACAGGCTCCGGACGCGCAGGCTCAGCGGCCATGGCTCACGGGCCCAGCCGCACCGCGGCATGTGGGATCTTTCCGGACCGGGGCACGAACCCGTGTCCCCTGCATCGGCAGGCGGACTCTCAACCACTGCGCCACCAGGGAAGCCCTCTTTCTTTCCCTTTCTTTCTTTCTTTCTTTCTTTCTTTCTTTCTTTCTTTCTTTCTTTCTTTCTTTCTTTTTCTTTCTTTTTCTTTCTTTCTTTCTTTCCTTTCTTTCTTTCCTTCCTTTCTTCCTTTCCTTCCTTCCTTCCTTCCTTTATTTTTTTTGGCTGTGTCAGGTCTTAGTTGCAGCATGTGGGATCTTTTGTTGCAGCGTGCAGGCTTCTCTCTAGTTGTGGCGTGTGGGTTTTCTCTCTAGTTGTGGTGCGTGGGCTCCAGGATGCGGGGGCTCCAGAGCGCATGGGCTCTGTAGTTTGTGGCACGCGGACTCTCTCCTTGAGGCGCGCGAGCTCAGTAGTTGTGGTGTGCAGGTTTAGTTCCCCCGCGGCATGTGGGATCTTAATTCCCCGACCAGGGATCTAACCCGTGACCCCTGCATTGGAAGGTGGATTCTTTACCACTGGACCACCAGGGAAGTCCCTGGCTAAAGCATTCACAAGCAAATCCCAGACATAATGTTATTTAAAACCGTACAAATTCAGTATGTATGTGTAAAGAAGAAATATTTTCTTGAATAAACACAATGCTAGTTCACACTAGACAAAATTATTGAAACCAGTCCATACAAAATTTCATGAATATCTAAAAATGTCTTCTTATGATTTTAAAAATCAGGATCCAGGGGCTTCCCTGGTGGCGCAGTGGCTGAGAGTCCGCCTGACAATGCAGGGGACACGGGTTCGTGCCCCGGTCCGGGAAGATCCCACATGCCGCGGAGCAGCTAGGCCTGTGAGCCATGGCCGCTGAGCCTGCACGTCCAGAGCCTGTGCTCTGCAACGGGAGAGGCCACAGCAGTGAGATGCCCGCGTACCACAAAAAAAATAAAATAATAAAATTAAATTAAATTAAAAAATCAGGATCCAAAAAGTAAGCACAATATTTTAAGAGCCTCAGATGGACACGTATGAACAGAATGTTTCCAGAGTACAACACGGAGCGTAGTAAAAGAAAAAGACTTGAAACTGCACCATGAATGAGGGAAGTCAGATCAAGGAGAACTTCCTAGAAGTCTGTGAGACCAGGGATCTAGAGGAAGGGGGGCACTGGAATACGATGCAGATATTTCAGCACAGCAGAGACTATCCTCACTCCATTTCTAATATGTACCAGAAACCTGGTTGATTCTGCTGTGGGAGGATCTGGAATCATCCCACTGAGCATCCCACCATGAGAGCGAGAGAATTATAAGATGCCCCATTCTTTCTCCACTCCCAACCCTCCCTCCTCAGAGCAGCACGGGACATTCCAGACCCTCTCACCACCCCCACCCCCCCTTGCTCCTGTCACGAGGCCCCAATCCCCCAGAGCTCTTTCATGTGATGCTCAGCTGAGACCCCTCTGCCTGTCTCTCCCAGCCCCAGAACAAAAGCCTGGGCTGTGTTCGCCTATGCCCATCCCAAAGAGGGGATGTGGTGCCTCTTTACCCTCTATCCAATACATTCTCTTGCTCCTCACTTTAAATACCCTATCCCAAGTGCCTGAGACATTGCCTAAAAGAGTCTCCCACTCATTTTACTCCCTTGGAGCCCCCGCTCCAGCTCACTGCCCAGGGGGTCTCAGAATTAGGGCCACTAAGACCCACTATTCTCTTGCCCTTCCAAGCAAATGGAGTTATTTTCAGGCTGAGTCCCAAATCTTCATGTGGGGAGGGAGCTCAGTTGCCCATGTCCTCACTAAATCAAATGGGTGGGAGATGCCAGAAGCATTGCTGGTTATCTCCCATTAGGGAGGGGAAAACCAGAGCAAGTGTGCAACCCCAAATTCACACCTGCTCATGTCCACACACCCCACACTCACCTTCTGTGGCCCCCACAGCCAGAAGAGCACCCATCACAGCCACATGGAGAAGGCATTTTCTCAGCACCAGATCCATCCTGTTCTTCTTTCCAGCAACCAAAGGCGCTAGGGCGTGGGACAAGCCCCTATATAAGAAACGGATGCTCATTTGCATAGCCCTTCCTCCTCTCCCTGCAGGGGAGGCCTGGGAGGAGCAGGAGGACCTGAGAAAGGCAGAACTGAGGAGGGATCCTGGTCCCTGGACATCCCGCTACTCAGTGACAGTTTCTGGTTTCACAGGGTCACGCTCATCTTAAAGCACTCCATCCCCCCGTGGAAAGAACTGACTGAAGGGCAGCTACCAAACAAAACACGTACCGGACACACACGATTCATCATGGGAGAGTGGATCAATTTATTGTGAGTCAAACCAGGAACCTCTCAAAAAGACTGTAGAAGTAGTGACCCTGTATCCAAAATCAAAGAGAGACAGTATCGGGGCAGGCTGAGAGACGGAGGCAACGACTCCTCCGAGGCCCGGGAGACCCTTACAATGAGATTCCCAGCTTCCTGCTTTCAGAGGAGGCTCCCTGGACCAGGTGGCATTCAATCTTAGGTCAATACACGTTTTCCTAGGGGTGGTGAAAACGGCGAATTAGAGATCAGGAAATCCCTATAGACTCAGGACACAGGTAGGAAACTCGATCCCAAATCAGATACTTGGAAAAAGGTGTTCAGCCTCCCCACCTACGTTGAAACTTGTCTTAATGCCCCTCGGAACCAAACTTGCGCGGGTCGGGGTCGTTTGCAGAGAGGGACGCAGGGCTGGCCCCTCCCTCTCTGACGTTGACCAATAGGAAGATCTGAGGGCGGAGCCAGGGAAACGCGGGAAGGAGGGGCGGGGCTTCTGGTGGCGGTAGGGAACTGGGGGAAAGCGGTAACATTGTTTCAAGTTGGACAAATTGACAAGAGCGAGAGATACACTGCGTTCCATCCCGACCGGGGGCCACGGTACTGGGCCCTGTTTCCCCTCCTCGGCCCCCGAGAGCTGGGTGCCGCTTTCTGCAGGGTTCCCAGGCCCCCGCTCCAGGGCCGGGCTGACCCGACTCGCTAGCGCTTCATGGAGAACTTCCAAAAAGTGGAAAAGATCGGAGAGGGCACGTACGGAGTTGTGTACAAAGCCAAAAACAAGGTGACGGGAGAAGTGGTGGCGCTTAAAAAAATCCGCCTGGACACGTGAGTGGCCTCTGTACCCGGGACTCCTTACTCGGGAGCTCCTTGAGTGCCCCCTACCCCCACCCCAACCGGCGGTGGCCATCCAGGGACCGGAAGGTAGCAGGGAGGGACTTCTTTTGAAGTGGAGAGGTGGGGTGAAGGACGAGTAGAGGGTTTCCCGGGGGAGACTATAGGGTAGTGTAGAATCCATGGGAAATTTCCTCCCTAAAGGCGGGTGATGCCCCTAAATGTACAGTCAGAAAGACTCAGGAAGAGGAAGGAGGCCTCTGAGATGGGGGTTCCAGGACTCCCTGTGGAGCTGGGTTTTGCGGTAAGCTGTAAAGAGCACCTTTTTGAATGACGAGCCCTCCTCGCTGCCCCAACCCCACCCCCATCTTAGAATTCTCTCCCCCTTTCAAAAGAATGGCAGTTGAACCTCACTGGCCCCTCTAGAGAGGCTGGGTGCTGCTACTCCCGCCCCCCCCCTTTTTTTTTACCGGTTACCTTCTTCACCTTCACCAGGAGGCTTTGCTAACCTAACCCTGGGCAAAGAAGAAATAATGACCTTAATGTGTCCAAAAGCCAGTCCTGTCCATCCATGAATTAACCCCTGAAGTACCCCTTCTCTTCTCTCACTTTCCTAGGGGATGCTGGGATGGTGTCTCTGTGGGGAGGCAGGGGGTGGGGTAGAATCACTGGGCTGGGAGAAAAGGAATATTTGTAACCACATTCCCTTCTCTGCTCTCCCAACTTCTCCAAGTGAGACGGAGGGTGTACCCAGTACTGCCATACGAGAGATCTCTCTGCTAAAGGAGCTTAACCACCCTAATATTGTCAAGTAAGTATGTATCTGGGAGGTGCTCTGACAGTAAAGGAGGATGCCTTCTGTTTGTGTTGTCTGGGCATTTCTCTCCCTCACCTCTATCCCTGGACCTCCCTTCCCTAGGCTGCTGGATGTCATTCATACAGAAAACAAACTCTACCTGGTTTTTGAGTTTCTGCACCAGGATCTCAAGAAATTCATGGATGCCTCTGCTCTCACTGGCATTCCTCTTCCCCTCATAAAGGTAATCCTTCTCATCAACTCCCCCCAACATGGGCATGTCTTGGGGGGACTGAAGGCAGGCAATCCAGACTGAGTGTTGATTTGTGATCTTAGATTCCTTCCCAGTCCTCATCCCCCTACACACACACACACACACACACAATCACACACACACAATCACACATACCTTTTTTGTGGCTCCTTCACTGCTCATTATACTTATTAACCCTAAGGCTGGGCAGGAGAATCAAAGAAGTTGAAACTCTAGTGAGTCAGCTTAGCAGCTCAGGTGGAAGGTGAGATGAAACTCAGATAAATGGGACTGGAGGGCACTTGGTAGACCCCTCCAAAAAGCCTTTCCACCTGCTTGGCGGGAGAAATAGCCAGTGAGTCTCTATTGTCTGTTTTTCTGGGTTCTTTACTCCCAGAGCTACTTTCCATCTATCAACAAACGTTTATCCAACACACATTTATTGAACACCTTCAATGTGCTGAACACAAGATATGGAAAAGAAATGCAAAACTGAATAAAACTTGATCCTTATCCTCACTGGGATTACAGTCCAATCAGGGAAATGGCTTGTAAACATGGAATTATTATCTAACTAGTGAAGGCTTTAGTAGAACTATGGAGGCACAGAGGAGACCCTAATGTTCTCACGGTGATGGAAAAACACATTCTTTTCTCTCCCCTTGTCAGAGCTATCTGTTCCAGCTGCTCCAGGGCCTAGCTTTCTGCCATTCTCATCGGGTCCTGCACCGAGACCTCAAACCTCAGAATCTGCTTATCAACGCAGAGGGGGCCATCAAGCTAGCAGACTTTGGACTAGCCAGAGCCTTTGGAGTCCCTGTTCGTACTTACACCCACGAGGTGAGTCCCTCTCTGCATGTCTTCTCTGAACTTCCTGGGAGGTGTTAACAGGGACATTCACAACGTTTTTAGTAACTATCTGGCCAGCAGTTTCTCTCTCACTAGATGCAAAGTATCTCTGACACCCTAAGAGGTCTTAGAGTATACACGGAGTTCATATTTTGATAGATAACGAGCCAGGAGAGCTGGATGGCACACCATTAAAATTATGACCGATTGCCTCAAGTTTTCCAAGAAGGTTGCAAATTGGAGGTTCAGAAAACATGGCCCCCAAAACCATGGACTAGGCTAACTCTGGGCTAAGAAGTTGTACCCAGTTATTTTACTTAGGGGAAATCAGAGGGAAGGGAAGGATGGAGGGAAAGAAGTTGCTTGTTAAGAAGCTGAGTTAGCAGAGTAGTCCTGAGGAAATGAGATGTGGGAATCTCCATGCCCCATACACCACCCCTCCCCTTCCTACGCTTGTCCTCAGGTGGTGACTCTGTGGTACCGAGCACCTGAAATCCTTCTGGGCTGCAAATACTACTCCACAGCTGTGGACATCTGGAGCCTGGGCTGCATCTTTGCTGAGATGGTACGGAGGCATGCCCGAGTTCTACCCAGCCCCCTCCTCCCCACATTCAAGAACAACAGAACTGTTTCTTGGCCTAGACCCATGGCCCTTCTCTTATCACAGGGTCCTTCCTCTAGAGTAGCACAAAGTGGGTGGTGGGGAAAGGATAGGACTGTCATCCCTGATGTCAACCACAATGTTAGGATATCCTCAAGCAGCTTTAGCATGCAGTATACATATCTTATCTCTGAATTGAGCTAAATCATTTCTGCAACTGTTTTAGCTTTAGCCTGCATATACTTGGGAAAATGAGTTCCATTTAGTGTCCCCTTCATTTGGCCTGTAGACCTTATTGTAGGGCACCAGGAATGTGGTGAGGCCAACTGTGTTCAGCTTACCCACACCTTTTATTTAAACTGCAGACTTACATCACATCCCCCCTCAACCTCTGGCTTTTCAGATTGAAGGATCCCTGAGGCCCAGTCTTATAAGGGAGCTCTCATCCCCTTTAATACAACAGTGGAGTGAGCTAAGTTTCCAAATCAAATCAGCAGTATGTTTTATGGTCCCTTATCTGGGTTGTAACTGGGGGCATGGAGACCATTAGCCCATATATATAATGTGCATTTATCCCCCAGTGCATTACTTTACAATTGCCCATATTCATCTCTCAATTCATCAAAAAATATTTGTTAAGCACCTAGTGTGTACCCAGCACCATGCTAGGTGCTGTGGGGAACACAGAAGAAATGGAAGACACAGTCTCTGCCCGCTGTGCTCCTATCTAGAAGTGGCTGCACCACAAGGAGGGGGGATGACCGCAGTGTCTACCCCACACCCCGTGAGTGGCTTGGGATCCCTTTGCTACATGTCAGTGGCACCCCAGACATTCACCCCCTCCCAGCCCCACCCAGCCTTGGGGATCTGCAAAGCCATGGTTGGGGGAAGGAAGGAGGGGGCGAGGAGACAGATGAAGGGACTTCATTGTCTCAGGCTCTGTTTGACTGACCCCATGAAAGGCCCTGGGGAGGGAGTCATGGGGCCCTGCTGACCTTCCACTGCCTGTGGGAACCTCCATTATCCAGTGGGCAGTTTTGACTGACGTCAATGTGGGTCTTGGCTTTTCCTCTTTCCCCATTTTCAGGTGACCCGGCGGGCCCTATTCCCAGGAGATTCTGAGATCGACCAACTCTTCCGGATCTTTCGGACTCTGGGGACCCCAGATGAGGTGGTTTGGCCAGGAGTTACTTCTATGCCTGATTATAAGCCAAGTTTCCCCAAGTGGGCCAGGCAAGATTTTAGCAAAGTTGTGCCCCCCCTGGATGAAGATGGACGGAGCTTGTTATCGGTGAGAGTGGGGAGTGGGCACCCATTTCCTCTCATTCACTCCCCCAGGGCAGGGTTTTTCCAGGATGAAGGAAGAATGAGGCCCTGGACTCCTGGTCTTAGCATTTCGCTAGCCCCTGCTTCCCTCTCGCTGTTGTGCACCCATTAGATACAGGAAGGAGGGAAATGGGAACTCTGCCTTGGGTGAAAGGAATTGTTTCCCCATTTCTCAAAACACCTGCTGCCCATTTACTCCATTATCACATTACTGACGTCAGCATACATCTCTCCCTCCAGCAAATGCTGCACTACGACCCCAACAAGCGGATTTCAGCAAAGGCAGCTTTGGCTCACCCTTTCTTCCAGGATGTGACCAAGCCAGTACCTCACCTTCGACTCTGATGGCTTTCTCAAGCCCCTACTCCCAGTCTCACCCTCTCCTCCAGTGGGGGCATGATCTGGCTTGGCCCAGGGCTCTTAGCTCACTGATCTTGTCTGGCTGCCTTAGCACTCACCTGCCCCTCTTAGCCAGCCAACTCTGGGGAGAGGGGGTGGAGGGGAGAAATAGGTGAAATTGAAAGGAAGCATCAATATTACATGCACTTAATCTGCACCATGCTCTCCCCTTCCTCTTAGTCATTGCTTAGGAGGGCTGGTATTTAAAAAAAAAAAAGTAAAAAGACTGTTTCTCCTTCCTCCACATAGGGTTTGCCATCCCAGTCTCTGAAAGCCCCGCAATTATTATTTTCTGTGTTTCAGGTGACAGAGACCCCAAACCTCCCACAGCCCTGTGTAAGGCCAACTGATAGCAGGGGCACTAAGTTGGAACTTTTGAAAACCAAGCAAAACAAAAACATGGCGAGGGGTCTGTTTTAAAGAATTAGGTTAAAAAAATAGATCCAACCAGTTTATACCCTAGTTTTAGTGCTTCATCTCACCTAACAGTCTGGGAGACTCAAGACTCCCTGTCTCAGACTCCCAGTCTCTGCAGTCCTGGTGGGACTGCAGTAGAAATGATTGCTCCTAGTCTTCTTGCCTGTCCCTCCTACAGGCAAGGGGTGTCTGGGAGGCTCTGGGTCAGGGACTGTGCTTCACCGAGGCCTTATGAGGCAAGTGAAAGATGTTTGAATTTTTCTCTTCTTTTTAAGATTCTTAGTTCTTCAGGTGCTAGGTTCCATCTCCCTCTGAAGGCCAGCCCATAGGAGTGAAAGTTAAGGTTAAGACCTCATTTTGAGAATGCTGACACTTTTTTAGGGCTGTGCCTGAGTGGGGACATTGGGAAAAAAATATTCCTTTAAAAGAAGGATGAACAATTATATTTATATTTCAGGTTATAGCTGTTTTTAAAGTGGGAATCGGTGGGGATTTGTTGCCATGTGCACCTTGGGGTTTGTAATGCGAATGTTCAAAAAAAAAAGCTTTTTTTCTTTTTTATGATTTTGTCTCTCTTCTCCCACCTTTTGTCCTTGAGTGTTCCTGCTATTAACATTATTTGTAATTTAGTTTGTAATTGATTAAAAAAAAAGTTCCTGGTTTTATAGTTCATGTCTCTCCTCCTTTACTGTTGCACATTTACTGAAAGAATGGTGTGAGAGAGAATATGAATGTGTGCATGTGACCCCTTTTCTTAATCACTCTATGCAGGGCTACCCACCCCACTCCATTTCGACCTCTGCGATGCAATTGGGATAGTGCCACGGGTGGGTGAAGTGGGAATTATTGCCCCCATTTTACAGCTGAGGAAAGTGAAGCTTATGTATTTCCTACTTCACTTTCCCCTAAACCAGCATCTCCCGCCCCCCCCCCCAGACGCACATATCACATACACATACACACAAGGCTCCAGTTCCAGATTTTCAATGTTAGGGCTCACGAACAGCAGTATGGTTGGAAGTGGGCTCCAAGGTAATTCGCATTGACGCTGCATTTCCCAGTAAGCTCGTCTTGTTTTCTTTTTACCGTTTTTATTTTGTTTGCTTTTTTTGCGGCACGCGGGCCTCTCACTGCTGTGGCCTCTCCCGTCGCGGAGCACTGGCTCCGGACGCGCAGGCCCAGCGGCCATGGCCCACGGGCGCAGCCGCTCCGCGGCACGCGGGACCCTCCCGGACCGGGGCACGAACCCGCGTCCCCTGCATCGGCAGGCGGACTCTCAACCACTGCGCCACCAGGGAAGCCCTCGTCTTGTTTTCTTTTTGTTCCATAACACAAACAGAAAAGTTTTCTAAAGATACTTATTCACATTTACATGCGATTTAGAATATATCAATCGTCTGTATGAAAAATTATTATAAAGGGGCTAAAGCCTCCCCAAGCTACCACTTCTTGGAGGTGCCATTGTCTCAGCTCACCAAAAAACATCTCAGACTGCCGCGGGCCATCCCCAAAATTCCTGTGCTCTGGGGCCCCACTAAAAGGAGGAAGCACCGACGTGAGGTCTGCTTAAATTCCTAGGCTCCGGGTCCCTAGGAGAGGTATTTCCCTTCACGCCCGCGAATTTGTGATAGAAGGCGGGGCGCCAGAGGCAGGCCCCGCCAAATCCCAGGGGAGGGGCGAAGGTCAGTAGCGGCCTTCCTAAGGCCTCTTTCAACCCCGCCTTGCCTGCCATTCAAGTCCCGAATTTTCTCAGTACTGGTTAAAGTTTCACTTTGACCCGCCCCCATCGCTCACCTGATTAGATGTTTATGAGTTAAAAGGCGGGGTCATGAGGGTGTCGCGAGTCTACTGGTTAGAGTATACGCCTGTCAACAGGGTACCGCCCCCTATCTCGGGGAGCTCGCTCTTTAGTGGCTCCTCACCTCGTCCATCTTCAAAGTTTCCCTCTCTGTATTGGTCTGGGGCACCGCCTGTCCAGTCCTCTGCTCTTACGCCTCGGTGACAGCCTGCCTTTCTCCAGAGGATTGGTGGATTAGCAGGCGCAGAGCCCACCCTGGATGGTAGGCGGGTAATCGTGCAATTGGCTGGGGCCCCCGCCACAGGGCGAGGAGGAGGAGGAGGGGCAGGAGGGTTTGGTTGAGCTGCAGCTGTTTGTCTGTTCGACACAGGCTTGGGCCCGACGGGGGAGACGGAGCCCCAGGTACCGGGCTGATGGAGCCCGCAAGGGCAGGGGCGGAGGCGCCCCGGAGAGGAGTGCGGCCTGAGGGCAGAGGCGGGTCTGGGCCTCTGCGAGGGGTTAGAGTGGCCCACCAGAGAAAGGAGAAGGGGGCCGGGTCCCGGCAGGCCTAATGGGGGCGCTGAGGAGGGGGCCGGGCGGGCTGGGAGCCCGAAGTTGGTGAGTCGGGGAGGCAGCCGGGTGGTGTTGGCGGCCGGGCTGGGGGCCGGCGCGGGAGGCCGGGGCTCGTGTGCGGGCAGGGGCAGGCCTCACTGAGCGGCGCCGAAGAGGGAGGAACTGGGGGAAAGGGACTGGGCGGCGGGTGAGGTAAGTCCATTCTCCCGGAGGTAAGGAGGGGTCAGATTCGGCGCCCGGGCCCGGAGGGGAACCGGGGCTGGGGCTCTCTCGAGAGGTCTCATTGGAAGGGCCAGGGAAGGGCTCTTAGCTGGGTAAGAGGCATTCTTTTCAGGGAAAGTGACTTATAAAAATAACTAGGGTGCCCCAAAGTTGAGCTGAGAGGGATTTGGGTTCAGTGCGGGAGAACTGAGACAAGCGAAGGAAGCTTTTCTAATCTAGAAGACTCAGGTAGCCGGGGCAGTGGAAGCAGAGCCTTCCATCGGTAATGGGAGCTTCTGGGAATGCTGAAGGGTGGGCTGGAGGCTCTGGGGCTCGCGAGTAATCACGCTTTTGTTCCCATTAGTGTGGAGATGTAGCAACTTGAAGTTTTTTGGTACTCCCAGGGTAGCCAATGAAGACAAGAGTAACTTTTTTTTCTGTGACTCTTGGCTATTCCAGACTCAGCCCCTGCACTTTCCCTTGGCCTCGCCTCGAGCTGGCTTAGGCTGCAGCCTCTGGGTTTCTTCTAACCTCCTGTTTCTCATGTCCTGTGAAAAAGCTAAGAAGTTAGATTTGGGGGATGTTTGTTCGTTTCTTTCCTACTTAATAATGTGGTCTATACTGGAGACCATATCTCTCACCTAGACGTGGGCAATCAGTGACTCATTTTCTGCATTGGAACTGGGCTTAGGGATCCCCAGCCATCCAGAGATCTCCTGACCATAGTTGGTGAAACTTTTGTGGCACTTAGGCTTGGGTATTTCACAGGCAGGTAATGGTTATGTGGAACCAAGCTTGGAAATATGAGGTGATATCACTGAGGAAGGGATTTGGGGAAGAGTGAGAAATTCCATTCCAGAAGGTTGGCATCACCCCTGTTCTTTGTCTACTTCTTCAGGAGCCCGGGTTTCTGAGCTATTAAAAAGTTGGGTCAAACAGAGAGGCACTTGGGAAAGGAGGTGAGTAGAGAAAAGGAAGATGGATTTCTAAGACATAGGGATCCCCTCCTGCCAGATATTTTTAACGGTCTGCTGACCTCCTTAGTCCCCCCCATAGATTGGAGCTTATTGGATTTTCCCTTATTATACTTCCTCCTTTTTCCCTTTTATACCACTGTATTTTATAAATACATTTCTTCTTAATTAGAAAAGTAATAAGTACATATTTTTAAATATTCAAGTTTTATAGAAGTGTAAAAAGTGTAGATCCTCCCACATATACCTCACTCATTTCATCCAGAAAGGTCAGAGATAAGAGACAGTAGATGAGACTAATCTTACTTCACTTTGGGGGATGTGCCACCAAAGGCAATTCTGTTTTCATGTTCCCACCAAACTCTGGTTTCTCATTCTTTCCAGTTTTCCCTTCTGGGACCATACTCTGTTATTTATTATGCTCCTTCCCCAGTTCATTTTGTCTTGCTTTTATCAAATTCAGACAAGCAGAGAGCTGTAGTCTGGGTTATCACTCACATCCTTGTGCACACACACGCACACACCCCACTTGTGCACTGGGTATCCCAGGAAATGCCCAAATAGATGGCCAAAACGTCTTTCTCTTTTATGGGCAGGAAGGAAACATTAAAGTGAATGATTTTGTTTGGGAGAATTATTGGCATCTCTGCTAATGTGAGGAATTTGGGACTTCTGTCTTCTGGTTCATGGTCTCTGCATGTTCAGATTATATGACTGTCCCTTCATTATCCCAGAAGAAGATGATGGTTCTCGTAAGGGGCCCCTGTGTCTGTCTTTCTATAATGATATGAGAAGCTTCCAAATTTCTCTGACTTTGAAACTGGTTTTCCTCTAAACCAGCACAGCTGGGACATTTTATACACCACCTTATTAATTGAATTTGTCCTTACTGGCTTTAGAAGCCCTGTGATGTGCCCAGCCTTTATACAGTGCCCTCAGAAACCTTGATTATTGTACCCCCAGGAGCTTTTATTTTCTCTCCTGCAAAGCCAGTCCTAGAGAAAGTTGTGTAGATGTGTGTGTGTGTGTGTTTGTTTTTTAAATCCTCACTAAGCTTTGCCATTTCCTACATCCTGATGATATCCTGTCCCTTTCTTCTATACATCCCTTCTTGTCTTTTCCACCTTCCCCGTAATCAAAGCCTTCTTTCAAAAACTGATCTGGAATTGCTCCATATTAAGGTGTAAATAACAAATAGTCACTTAAAGTATTAATCCTTCCAAGAGTTTTTGCTTCTTAAAGAGGGAGCTAAGGAGTGGAAATCATCAATATAGAATTTCAAACATAGATCTGGAGTTACAAAAATATATTTGGAGAAGAGGACTTTCCCATTGCCCTTGAAGTCATACCTCATCCCTTCTAACTCTTACTTTGCCCAGGAGCAAGGATTGCTCTTTTATAGTTTACTAGTTTGTGCGCATTGATACGAATTTGACTTATGAGGAGACATGGGGTAGGAGAAGCAAGTGTATAGCCTGCTCCCTAATCCTAAGGCATTTCAGGTTGGAAAGTAACCAAAGTGTGAGACATTGAATTTAAAATAAGGAAACTGCAACAGCCGTCTTGGAGGAGGGATACCTTGAAACCCTACACAATACACTCCCATTTCCCAAGAATGTTTTAGGAAAGATTTAGTCACTGACTCAACAGTAACTGAGCTGAATAAGGAGCCACCCAGGTGAGCAAAGTGTGTGCAGATTTCTGGGCCAGGTTGTAGTTTCTGTTGAGGGGCAGTGGGTACCTTGTCAGAGTGGTAGTATGATTTTTTTTTTTTTTAAACTTGTGTTTCTGAAGTTCAGGAATTAATAGAGATAATGATCTGAAGTTTTTTGAACATTTAACATCAACTGAAGATTCAGAGAACTTTGTTTTTAGCCACAGTTGCCTCAGTGTTACGGTGGGGGGGCTGCATATTTGGTGTGATTAGGCCATCTGAGGTATAGTAACGGGTGACAGGAAAAGCAGTTAGCCCATGTGAGTTGCAACAGTACCTTGTGGGCTGGGTCCCAAGAGGCCCCTCCATCCAGGGTAGATCACAAAGAGGCAAGAGGGAGAGCTGGCCTGTTAAAAACATTCCCAAATGGAACTGAGTAAGAATCTATTTAGATGGCACAGAAGGGGAGGAGTAGATGGAGGAAGGAA